TCACCGCAGCAACAAAAATAAACAAATGGGATCTGATCAAATTAAAAAGCTTCTGCACTGCCAAGGAAACTATCATTAGAGCAAATAGACAACCTACAGAATTGAAGAAAATATTTGCTCTCTACACTTCTGATAAAGGTCTGATAACAAGAATCTATCTAGAACTCAAAAGAATTAACAAGAAAAAAAACAAACAACCCCATCAAGAAATTGGCAATGGAAATGAACAGAAACTTTTCCAGTGAAGACAGAATAGTGGCCAGCAAACACATAAAAAAATGCTCAACATCTTTAATCATTAGAGAAATGCAAATCAAAACCACAATGAGATATCACCTAACCCCAGTGAGATTGGCCTCTATCAAAAAATCCCAAAACAACAAATGCTGGTGAGGATATGGAGAAGGAGGAACACTCTTACACTGCTGGTGGGACTGCAAATTAGTGCAACCTTTGTGGAAAAGAATATGGGGATACCTCAAAGAGCTAAAAACAGAAATACCGTTTGACCCAGCAATAGCATTATTAGGCATCTACTCAAAAGAGCATAAGACATTCTGTTACAAAGACATCTGCACCCTAATGTTTATGGCAGCACAATTCACTATTGCAAGGACGTGGAAACAACCCAAGTGCCCGTCAATTCATGAGTGGATTATTAAAATTTGGTATACGTTTACAATTGGAATGTTTTTGTTAATATTTTTATCTTTTTGTATTTTTATTAATTTTTTTACTTCTCTTTTTTTCTTTTTACACAATAGAGTATCATTATACAATGGAATATTACTCAATTTTAAGAAACGAAACTGAATTAGCACCGCTCATATTATCCTGGATTGAGCTTAAACCCATTATCCAAAGTGAGGCAACACAAGATGGGAAGAATGGGCTCCACATGTACTCGCCATCAAATTGGTACTGACTGATTAACACTATGGTGCTCAAAGGGTGGTGGTGTTCACCAGGGATTCAGGGGTTGGGGGGTTGACCCACATCTGAGGGATGTGGTGAGCATTGTGGAGGGGAAGGGCATACCTCTAACCCTTGCTAGGGAGAGGCAAAGATACAAAATGTAACCCAAATGTTTGTACCCTCATATTTTCTTGAAATTAAAAAAAAAATGTATAGCTACACCTAAAAATGCAGGGCACCAAACATTGTAAGTATGTGGGTAAATATATATGTTTTTCTTGTTTTAATCTCTTTAAAAGATAACTATCTAGTCCCATTAGCTGCTGTCAGGAGGCCTGGGTTCCTTCCCCAGGGCCGTCGCCGCGAGGTGGCCAGAGTGTCCCCAAAACATGGCCGTCGTCTTCCCTGCAGGCAAGCAACCAGAGAGAGTGTGTGAGAAGGATGCGCTGCAGCCCGGTGTGACTTCATCCACAAGTCAAATATACCTTCATTTTCACTATATTCTAGTAGTTATGTTGCGGCAGTGTGTACAGCTAGCGTTACAGCTCTTGTTATAGCTCTTATTTGACCGGGGAAAGAACCAAGTGGCACACAAAGAGTCGGAGAACAGCCTTTATTCTTCTATAGCAGACTCAGCACACCTAGTGTTACAGCTTCCTTGGTGTCTTCGGATGTTCTCCCCCTTCCTGCCCTTCTGCCTCTGCTTTTATATCCTTGGTAGGGCTCAAGAAGCGTCCAATCAACTACAAGCTTTAACATCCAATCAGCAACAGGCTTTAACATCCAATCAACAACAAGCCTTAACATCCAATCAAAACAGTGGGATTCAAAAATTACCCAATCAGGATCACCCAAGCAGCATGGCCGGAAACAGACCCCAGCACGTGGGCCTGCAGCATTGCAGCAGGCCGGTCCCTGCGGCAAGCCAGGCATCCAGGTGGCTGTGTGCCTCTAACTGGCCAGGCACAGCACTGGCCCCCGGAGCTGCGGAACTACGGGGAGGTGGCAATCGGTGGCTTCCCGGCGCCCGACATTTTCCGCATCAGTTAGATGTGGGTCACACTCCAGATGAGAAGAATCTTTTGGAGGAAGGGATTTGTAGACGTACTTAAAAATCACCACAGGTATGAAAGTAATAAATCTTATTTTTGTCGCGCAGTATTCAAGGTTTCTTTTTTTGTTAAAAGAAAACCATTTTGCTTCGAAGAAATTATGCCTTTACTCATTTATCACCCAGAGGCGGCGGGATTGTGCGGACCGCTGCCGTCCATCCACTCACCCCCTGCCCGCGGCGGGAGCGGGCCACCCAGGACGCGCCGCTCTGGACGCCCAGCGACTTCGCGGCACTTGCTGTTTTCGTGTATCGAGCACCCGTCTTTCCAGGTAAGTTATTGCTCCGTGTGGGGACATGCACTGATCACTTCAGGAGCAGGGACATACATAACAAAGGAGGCTGCGCAGTCACAGAGCCTCTCTGTGCGTCTGTTTAGACGCTGGGAGAACAGCGCACAGTGGAGTGGCAAATACTGTTGCTTTTAATGTCCGACTTCCTGGGTTGGGATCCTGGGTCCCCGACTATGGGGCTGTGTGGCCCTGAGAAAGTTACTTAAACTTCTCTATGTTCCAGTTTCCTCATATCTGAAACAGAGCTCAAAAAATAGTTACCTGCCTTATAGGGTTGTTATGAATATCAAGTTAAGACACATAAAATTATAGTATACATTCATATTTATATGTATATTTATACTTATACTCAATTATTTATAAATATTTACAGATGCATATTTACATAAATTCATATTTACATTAGCCCCAGGAAGGATCTGAATCTGTGGCCATTGGCATGCATTTTCTTGGACATGAAGAAAGAGACTTTTTGAGGAGTGAAAACAAAACAGAACGAAAATGAAAGGTGGTACCAAATATGGTTTGTGCCCTTGAATCCAGCTGTGCCTGAAGTTAGCTGTGTTTGAATCTGTATGTGGAGTCTGCTGTTCAGAAAACCAATAAATCTCCTTCTTTTTTTTGCCTAAGTTAATTCCAACCTTGCATTTGAAGGGATCCTGAAAACTATGGTGTGGACAACTGATAACACCGTGCTCAGTATAGCATAAGTCACCAAAAAAATGTCTCAAGTTGCCCCTATTTATGTGGAATTTTGATGGACATAAAACTGGAGATGGTGATAAACTTCAAATGATGACAGTAGCCAGGTAGGTGAGCTAGAATGGGGCGAACTGACTTGGAAATCTCATGTATTGGATCATTGCCTAGGAAGATTGTATCTCTGCCCTGAAACAGGAAGGATGGTACAAATGAAGTGAGGCAGGGCCAGGTGTCTAGAGAAAAAAAAAATTGTCAGAGGAAAATAATGCCAAAAGTTATGCCAAAAAGTGCAGGGACAAGGGTAATTGGATGTTGGTGTAAGAAAGTCACAAAGGTGTGGTGGCCTCTGCCAGCAATCCCAGCTGCTCCAGAGGCTGAGATGGGAGAAGCTCCCCGGCCCAAGAATTTGAAGCCAACCTGGACAACATAGCAAGACTTATCTCTGAAAAAGAAAAAAGAGAATTAGGAAGATCTTTAACCTTCTTCAAAATTTTGCTTAAAAGTTATATGTCATTTTTGCTTCACCACTTCAAAACTCTCTAATTAAATTGAACTAATTCCCTATCTACCAACTTCTTGTCAATCATACTTCAGGTTTATACCAAAATACTCCCAAAGTGGTTTTACTGCACAAAAGAAATTTGATTGAATATCTAATATCTTAATTTTAAGATATCTTATGGTTTATGATTAAGTCTATATAAAGTAAAACTTGCTATAAAGAGATGATTATTTTTCCTTTGAAATTATGTGTGAATATGCATATTGTCTATGTGAATATATATACAGACATATAAACTCACATATGTTTTCCCTTAGCTAAACAATTTTCTGACACATTCTCTATTTCTTGCTAAAGCTTGTTTTAGAAGGTAATATATGACAAATTATGATTGTGATAATTCATTGTGAAGAAGAAAAGGATAGGAAATTAATTTGATAATAACCTTCAATAGAAAATAAAAGTATCATTGGTTTTTGGGTGCTCAATAGAAAATACAAAAGTTAATTTTATTATTCAAACAATGGAAATTAAATGACAAGAAAAATAATATGAATGCTATATTTTCTGTAACAGAAACATTCAAAAAAATCAATTGCCATAGTATTATTAATAGTATCAAATTTTCCTACTTAATTTTCTAACCAGAAACTAAGAAATAGTCATTAACACAAAGATATTTTGACATTTAGCAAATGACTGATTCAAGTTTTTGTTGTTTGTTCAAATATGTAAGCCTCATGTCGGCAAAGTTCATGCTACAATTGCATCAACATTTTGTGTCAGAAAGACACAACTACATAATATGGTGGTAGTAAGCAGATTATGAAAACATAAAATTAGAGTTTATACATATGGCCGGGTGCGGCAGTATCCCATGTCACCATGTCAAACTTAGAACATGTATTTAAAAGCAGCAATTTTGTGACTTGGAATTACTTGCCAATTTTGACTGCTCTGTTTCACAAACTCTAATTATTCTTTAATCATCTACACTGTGGACCATGTTTTTGAATTCAGAGACACAGAAATTAGCATGTTTACCGTGGCCATAAACATATATTTCAAACTGAAAAAATATAATCCAAGAAAGAGATTTAAAAGAGGGGGAAAAAATGACCCATTTCTAATTGACCCATACTCTAATGACCCTAATACTCTAATTATTCTTTAATCATCTATACTGTGGACCATGTTTTTAAATTCAGAGACACAGAAATTAGCAGGTTTACTGTGGCCATAAACATACATTTCAAACTGAAAAAATATAATCCAAGAAAGAGATTTAAAGGAGAGGGAAAAATGACCCATTTCCTCCGAGCTTGAAAAAGGCATGCCATGCAGAGGAATACTGGAGGCAACTACAGTGAGAACGGACTGACATTCATACCACATGCTAATGTTTCAGATTTCACTGCGGTCTCTTCACAGTGAAAATAGTCCACAGTCTTGGCCTCACGTTGAGCAACACACCTGGTAGCGGGAAGGAGCTCTTGAAGCAGATGATCTGCTACATTGCTCAGAGCACTTGCTCTGTGGGGAAGCTGTGCTCATTTCCAGCTCTGCTGTGGATGAGAAGACAAACCAGTGGTAAGCTGCCACACACACAAAATTAACCCTGATAGGTCAATAATGGGGAAACCAATCAAACGACAATATATTAGCCAGCACACTAACTCTGATCGATTCATCATGCTTCTCTCTAACAAGGCATTTGTGGTACTTGTTAATGTAACTGGCTTGTTTTCTTTCCTCTAAATTCACATGCTTAGGAAGCTAGCACCTTTAAAAAAATACTTTATATTTTTTCCCAGATGCTACATTGGTAGTCATCTATGAGATTTTATAGAATACTTATGTTTTTCCCTAGTTCTTCCTAATTATGTAAGCTTTGCATATCATTATAATCATTATTATTTTAATCATATTATTTTCTTAAATAATAGCCCACTAATGTTATTGTTATTAACATTATTATTTTCTTAGTAAATGGTCAGTATCAAACAACTGTCTCAATGTATCCTAGAATAACCATCTTGAATATTCTTTAATATGACAATGAAAAATAATTCTACACTCTCATTTCGTAACTTTCACAATCATAAGGTTCTGTCACATCCCTGAAATTCTTTCTTTTATCAAACGTAAATTGCTCCTGTTACAAATTACATCCATTTTCTGTGGGTCATCAGAAATAGGCAACAGCTGGTTGCTTTTTCTGTTGAGTGATATTAAGGATGAAATTGTTAGAAAGCCATTTAAATGTGACAGATGACCTCTTAAGTCATGAAGACAGACGATAAAAGTTCATTGTCTTATCAAGTCAATGTCTAAATAACTTCAGGAAACAATTATTTTCTTGATTAAAACTCCAAAACATCAGTAACTTCATCAGGTCTTTGTTGCTGGAACAGTCTGATAAACTTATTGTTTTAAATTAATTATACCATCTAACACATATTTAATTATTGTCAATTTATTTTTTTATTTTTTATTTATTTATATATTTATTTATTTTGAGATAGGGTCTCCCTCTGTTCCCCAGCCTAGAGTACAGTGGTGTCATTGTAGCTCACTGCAACCTCAAACTCCTGGACCCAGGTGACTCTCCAGTCTCAGCCTCCCAAAGTCCTAGGTTTACAGGCATGAGCCACTGTGGCTGGCCAGCAATTTAGTTTGTTTACCCAATCATTTACTGATTTAGTGGTCTTTTCCTTATATGAAACAGCTGTATGTATATAATCCATTAGACTATGATTTTTAATTTTTCTGAGTAAGATAAAAGAATGGCATTGATGGCATTTTGCTGTTTTTGATTGATATATTACTTGAATTTTTAAATGGCTAGTATATATGAAAACTAAATTTACTTAACAGACACATATATTGGTTGTCAACATAAAGCAGGCATAATTACAAGTGCTTTACTAATATTAATTTATTTAGTCCTAACAGCAATCCTTTAAAATATATTATTATCACAATTTTAGAGTTGAGAATTGTGCCAAGGTAAGACTGCTTAGAAGTGGTAGGGGATTTGAATTTGAATTCAGGTAATCCCAGTTCCAGAGTCAGTACTGTTAACCAGTGTATTATGCTGTCAAAAAAGGAGAGGGAGAAAGAAGATAACGGGAGGATGACTATGCAACATAGTAACTGAATCTCATAAACATATAGAGAGCAGCTGAACAGTAAACCACACAAACAACTGGTAGTGTATCCAAAACCTGTAAGCAGCATTTGCGGCAAATTGAGGAAGCAAGGTGTCCCTACAAATTTCAAAATACAAATAATTGAAGACCAATCGCCAACAATCACAAGACCCACATTACAGCAGCCTCCATGCAGGAGAAAGCAGAAGCAGCAGCAAGGTGTGTATCATAGCAGTCCAGTTGGAAAATGGCAGCTTGACCGATAATATTTTTGCCAAATCCAATCTGAGGTGAGTTGAGGGGTCCACAAGATAATCTGAAAAGGATGGTGCAGTTTGACCTCAGGGAAACCTCAAAACTGACCTGTTAGGTTTCTGAGGTAGAAGAGAAACAGTCTGGAGTGGAATGAAAATTGAGCAGGACAGTTAGAATACAGATGAAGCAAAGTGAAGTTTCAAAGAAAAATGGGAAAGAAAACAAAACCAGGAAATCTTAGAATGCAAGCTGCTGGAGTTGTGACATTATGTGAAAGCAAGAGAAGAAAGATTTGAGGGAAGTTTAGAAAATCTACCAGAACAATGCCACCTCCTAAAAGTTCAGAAAAGTAAAATTTCATATCAAAATAGGAAAGAGAAAAATATTAGGGCCAAATTCCATACATTTTAAAAAATGACTTAAGACATGACAAAACAACATAAAAGAATGACATGAAATAAAATCTGATAAGTATATAGAGAGAGCTCAGGAAAAAGTTAGAAACAAAATAAACCAAGTTTTTCATAAATAAGGACCAAATTACAGAAACATAAGAAAATAAACACAATAGGCAATACTTTAAGAGAAATAATAGGTTATTAAGTATAAAATGCCCAATTTCCTCAAGTACTAAGTTGACAATTGGTATCTCTGACATTTTTCTTTGACACTTCTTATTTTATTTTTATTGTGAAGGTACGTCCTCAGTCTTTCAAATGCATGGTTTGGCTTGTGATTATCTTTAAAAAAAATTTTTTAAGCAATTTTTGTGAAACCGTGGATAAGTCAAAACTTCGTGTTATTTTCGAATACGAGTTCCCTCATGGAACCAATGCAGTGCCGACAGCTCCAATTATCAATGAATGTTTAGGAAGGATGTGGCTAATGAATGAACAGTACATGGATGGTTTGAGAAGTTACGTTCTGGTGATTTTAATCTTGAAAATAAGCCACGTGGGCAACCTGACAGCAAGGTGGTAATGATGAGCTGAAAGCTGTAGTGGAAGCGAATCCATCTAAACCTAAGTGTGAATTAGCGGCAAGGTTTGACGTTACTATTCCAACAACATTGAACCATTTGTAACAAATGGGCAAGGTCAAGAAGCTAGATAGATGGGTAACTGCATGAATTAAATGAGCATCAGAAGAGAAATCATCTGGAAGAATGGATTCTTTTTGACAGTTGAAAGCGTTCAGCACATGGTTGGATGAAAATGAAGTGCCAAAACACAGTCCAAAACCTAATATTCATCAAGAAAAGCTAATGGTGTCTCTTTGGTGGTTCAGCACTGGTATTATCCACTACACCTCCATGAAACCTGGTCAATCAATTACAGTGGATGTCTACTGCAATCAGTTGGATGAACTGATGGGGATACTTGGATTAAGCATCCAATATTGGTCAACAGAGACAGGCCAGTCCTCTTGCAAAACCACATGTCATGAAAAACAATGCTACTCAAACTACAGAAGCTGAATTTGGAAACTCTCTGTCATCCACCATATTCACCAGACCTTGCGCCAACTGACTGCCACTTCTTCCACACTTTGGACCACTTCTCACAGGAATAATATTCAATTCTCAACAAGCTGTGGAAAACACCTTTCATGATTTCATTGCCACTCGCTCCCCAGGATACTTTGCTGCTGGCATAAACAAGCTACGTTAAGATGGCAAAACTGTGTCCATAGTTTAGGTGTATTCTTTATCTGTACTGCTTCTTGTTTGAGATACAGTAAACTACACTTTCGATTCAAAATCAGACGTTTCATATTTAATGACCTAACACACGGTTTAAAAGGTGGTAGTTTTTAAAAAATCAGAAATAAATGAAAGAATAAATAAAATAAAGTGACAAATAGTAGGCAAAGGTAGTCCATGAAAGAAATTCCAGTAGACATTAATAACAACCTAGAGGATGGAGGTGGAGTAAAAAAAAATGAAAAAAAATACTACAAATTTTAATTCAGTAAAACTTTTGACAAAGCATATCACATACATAAGAATATAGTCCTAAGATGACCAATGTCAAGAAATACTGAACTTCAAAAAAGAAAAACACTCTTTGACATTAGACACAAAAAATAAATTAATATAAAAGGGAAAAAAACAAGTTTATCATCAGTCTTTTTGACAGTTACATTTTAACCCCAATGAAAATGAAGTAGCACATTTAATATGTACAATTTAAAAAAAATGAGATATGATTTAACTCCAGTGAGATTGGCTTTTATCAAAAAGTCCCAAAACAACAAATGTTGGTATGGATGCAGAGAGATAGGAATACTCACATACTGCTGGTGAAATTGCATACTAGAATTAATACAATCTCTATGGAAAGTAGTATGGAGATACCTCAAAGAACTAAAAGTAGAACTACCATTTGATCCACCAATCCTTCTACTGGGTATTTACCCAAAGGAAAAAGACACATTATATAAAAAAGACATCTGTACTTGAATATTTATAGCAGCACAATTCACAATTACTAAGATGTGGAAACAACCCAAGTGTCCATCAATACATGAGTGGACTAATAAAATGTAGTATATGTATACCACGGAGTACTACTCAACCATAAAAAACGGTGAACTAGCACCTCTTGTATTATCCTGGATGGAGCTAGAGCCCGTTCTTCTAAGTAAAGTATCACAAGAATGGAAAAACAAACACCACATGTACTCACCATTAAATTGGTACTAATCTTTCAAAACTTATATGCACATATGAAAGTAACATTCATTGAGTGTTGGGCAGGTGGGAGGGAGGAGAGGATGGGTAAATTTACACCTAATGGGCACGTTGCACACTGTCTGGGGGATGGGCATGTTTGTAGCTCCAACTCTGGAGATGTAAAACAAATTTATGTAACTGAAGCTTTTGTACCCCCGTAATATTCTGGAAATAAAAAAAAGAAACGTAGGGAAGTGGTAAATTAAATAATCAGGATATTAATTACTTTGGGGAAGAGGGAGGAGGCTGGAAATAGTATGGGGATTATGGGGAGATCTCTGTGTGGCTAGCAAATTTCTATTTATTGACTTGAGTGCTATTTGTAAAGTGTCCACCTTAAAACATCTCATTGAGCTATCCAATTTTTGTGTGCTTTTCTATATATACATTTCATTTTCTCATAAAAAAGATAAACATGAAAACC